TAAGATTGTTATTTTGACAAGTAATGTCGTATTCATTTTTTTTTTATACTTAATTAAGAATCATGCATTAACCCATACACACACAAAAAAGAAGTCCTCTAAATAAAGCCTGATGCCGTGAGAGATAGGACGAATTAATTTTGGTTTCTTCTTCCATGAAGCAAATGCATCATCGATCACTGTCAAAAGTTTTCCAAAACCCATATGTCAGATAGATGGGTTGTGAATGGGATCCTACCAATACCCCAGAACCAACTAAGCTCCATTCCTTTGTTCCCCCTAACAATGGCATCTGGGTCACATGGTCATCATGTGACCAATATCCGACCAAAACTAAATAGCATGCAGCTAAACCCCTCTTGCATGCTCTTTTGTATGTATCATCTGTATCTATTATTTTTAGTATTTTTGTCCAAACCCCCCCACTCCCAAAGGCTCGACCCTCTATGCGGGGACCGAGTCCCAAGAGAAAGAACACGTGTTGGCGATCTCTTGCATGTCTCTCCTGTTGTAGACACGTATTTTTGCCCCAAAGGACCATGGTTTTCTTTTCCATTTCCACTGCGAGCAATAAATTTGATCTCAGTTTTAGCTGCTAGCTGCTGCTGCTCTGACAGTCCATTTTCAAAGAGGGGCAAAAAAAGGAGAGAAAAAGAAAGATTCTCCTCCATTGCCACTTTTTTAATTGCATGCATGACTATTATTATTATTCCCATTCTTATGGCTAGGTCATTTTTAACGGAATATCTCTTTATCTTCAGTATCGTGGTATAAATATAATTCTTTTCTTGTCTCAGTAAAATAGTCAATATGCCTAGTTACTTCAAGTAAAAAAAAAAAAAGAAAAGAAAAATCATGAGTTGTCAATGCATACCTGCAGCATTCATGCCATTGAGCTGGAATACTTATCCTAGCTAGTAGAATAAGTAGCTAGGGCATAATGGTAAGTGGAAGATACAGGGATGTTCCTTTTGCTAGAGAAGAATTTATTTCGTTTTTTTTTTTTTTTGCATGCATGCATGCATGAAAATGTGAGTAATGATAGTGTCACAATGTTCGGATTTTCATGCATTCTATCAGTTTCTTTATTAGACAATACATATGGTGTTGTAGGGTTGGAAAATATATAGTACAATTTGCTTTTCTTCATTTTTGGAACATAGCATATTGGCATTTGGCAAGTGGTGAAAGGAGGACTAGAAATTTGATACTCAAACGGAGTGCATCTTTTTTTCGAAGCCAAAGTTGTGTGTGCCCAGTTCAAGAAAAAGTAAAAGGAGAATAGCTTTTGGTTGCGAATGGTGGCAGTACATTGTTGGAGAAAGACCTTTCCATCTCTTATTGAGATCATTTGTCCTACTTATTGACAAATAATGAAATCGCATTATTGAAATATCATCGTGTTTCTAAGATTATCAACGGCATTTGATTAAGATGCACTTTTAATTTGTTTCAAACAAATTGAGCAAATACTCTTTAACTTCTATTTACTTACAAGTCAGAGTTTTAAGTGGTGTTTTATAAATAGGACTGGATAATACAAGGGACGGAAAGGGTTGCGACTTTGCACCAATAATTGGAGGTTAGAAAGACTAGTAGTAGTTATGGAGTTAAGGCAGCAATGATGGGAGGGAGGGGTTGGGTGTAGTGGACTTTATTCTTTACACGTCCTAAAGAAACCGAGGTTGTCAAAAAAATTGGAAGCAACCCATTGTTCTTATTCCAAAATCCATGTGTTTTCTTCACATCAAACTCTCTCTTTAAGTGGATTCCAACTCCTCATTCAACCATAGATTCTAAAAAGACTTGTTCATGCTTGGTGGCTTTCCCTTTCACATCCTAACAGAATCAGAAAAAAAATTCTTTTTTTTAAAAAAAAACAAGCATTTGTAGTGTTTTCACTACGAGATTCATCCCTCAACACACACACACACACACACACACAATAGTGAGAGGAAAAAGAAAAGAACAGCCACTGATAATTGTTAGAGAGTCGGTATAATTTTCATCAAATTCTTTGGTGGGTTCCTTAAAATCTAGATGCCCAATGGTCTGCCATATACATATTATTGGTGAAGAGGGCAGTTAAATAAATGTGTTGCATATTAAATATACTACATGTGTGATGTCTTGGTTCCAAGAACATGGACAATCATATGTGGCCTTCTTGGGGGCTACAAACTGCAAATTAAAATCTACTATCTAGTCAAAGTCTTATAAACTAACTATTTCGTGCAAAAAATAATTGATGTCAATCAAACAATTTATTATTCTGGCACGGTGCGACCGATGCTCACCGTTATGACCGTTTCTCCAAAGCTAATAATTGCTGCTACAACAATAAATCAACCCTCTTCAAATGCGACTCAATTATGTGAAGTATAATTATATTATTATTAAATGGGGTGAAGAACAAATGGCATTCAAACAAATCAATTATTCAAGGGACAGATTCTCAATAATTTGATATACATTCGCCCCATTTAGGCGAAAGATCAACGAGTTTCGCACGTTATCTGTTCTGGTTTTCTGCAGTCAAATCAACACACAATTATAAAAGTAATTTAAAAATAAAATAAAATAGATCTTAAACTAGTGAAGCATTAAATGGGGGAGTAAGAAAAATAAATGAACCATCTATTCAATTGACTTGAATGAATGAATATCTAAGTCATAAGGTGTCCCTTTTGACTCAGCATGGGTCGAAGAATGCTGGTAAAAAGAAAAGGATGGATCATTTCACAATTTTATATCTCCGCGGGTCCATTAGGACCATGACCAAACTGAAGTAACATAATGGTGGATCGATCTCCTCTATATCATAAATGTTTTTTTTTGTAGTTGAGGATGAACTTTGCTATTAATATGCCGGAAATATAACAATGTACTCTCTGTTTAGTCTTATCTATAAACACCTAATGATAATGTTATACAGTCGAAGTTTGGATACATCAATGTCGGTTATGTTATGTTCTATTCGTATCAAAACAATATAATCTATATCTTTTAAGTAAAATAGTATAACTAATTCGATTTTTTTTCCAAAATTAAAAGAGCATTATTTATTTTACATGATACGTACTACAATTTACGCACGTAATGATATTTGGAGCACTGTCAGACCATTGAACTATAGTTCTAGAAGTTTAGGGTAACTATCTAGCTGCCTTGCACCGACAAATTTTTGTGATTTTCGTAAGAAAGAAGAAACTAAAGTTTGTGAACAACGTAATTAAATTAGTTTTAAGAGGCTAGAATCAAAGGGGAAAAAAATTGTGTGAGGTAGCTATAGTGTCACGGTTCATGGCTGCATATGTAACACGATAACAAAATAATGTCGACATTTTTCCAAACTTACAAATTCTAGTACGTCCACAAAGAGCGAGGTGCCAAGCATGCTGCATCCCACGTGACTGAAGTTTCCTTAAATGTTGCCATATATATACGTAGTAGTTTCCTGGGTGTTTGACAAATTGTCTCAGTGAAGGAAAAATTAAAATAAAAAGAAAAAAAAAAAACAAAGAAACCAAAGCACCGAAAGGGAGGAGAATGGCGGTTTGTTTTGCATGCCAGTGGTTTTACTGTTGTTTTATACGGCTCTATACCTAAGCTAGCTGGGGCAGCCAGCCATGCAGTCGTGGAGCTGACTGTTTTTTTGTGATCTTTTGGGCGGTTCTTCTTCTAGCTCAGATCGTATCGTTTTAATTTGTTTCCTGAAAATCTTCGAGGATCAAGAAGAGAAGAATTTTCCCACAACTTTCTACGTTTACCAATTGTAGAACCAGACAATTTTTCTTCTCTCTTTGAAAAGAAAATCCATCTTTAGAGTCTTGATCGACACTTTTACGATGGTATATTTTGGTTTCTAAAGTTTCGATTAAATTATTTCGCTATATATAGCCCATGAAGAAAACATGGGCACCACAATTAAAAACAAAATCGATACTGGTTACTAATAATAGAAACGAGCGTTAATATAACATATACAATTTGCAATCCAATGGAGAGAAAAGCTATGGCGTAGATGTGTTCTTTTGTTAGTTTTGCTTCAGCTTTTTTGCAAACTGAAGGCCCCAAAAGCCACAACATTGTCCATCACATAACTTGAAATAAAGGATTGGAAAAAGATCTTTAATTTGTTCCTAAAGGCAAATGCGACCAATCAAGTACATTAAGTTAATTATGATACGTTTTTCCTTAAAGTTTTTGTGTTATTATATCTCTCTTTCGTCATGTTTTTACGCTAATTTTAAATTGGTGAAATAATACTCCCTCCGATCCTTATTATAAGACATTTTAATTTGTCCTAAATATCACGTAGAGTGTCTTTTTAATTGAAATAAAAACCTATTTTCTAATAATTATGAGAACACGATCAGTGTGACAATATTTTTTTTTAATTTTTTTTTTCCAATTAAAAATGCATCTTAGGTGAAACTTATGACAGAATCAAAATGACTTATAGTAAGGAAAGTAAGGAGTACCATTTAACTTCAACACGAAAAGTTACAATTATATTTTACATACATAGTTGATATACGTATCAAGTTGAGTCGGAAAGAAGTTTTACATGAATATTAGTCTAAAAAGCTTAGTAAAGTTTAACATTTTTCTTAAATATTAGTATTTCATTTCACAATGCAAGAATATCCCATTCTTGAAGCCAAACTTCGACTCCATCCCGTAGTAAATTTCGACTTTGCATAGTTGAAAAATTATTGACCAGAAAATTTTGTAATTTTGGTCACATCCTAAGGTACGCTGTTACGATAGTACCACCACTTCGGCCCTTTTCACTGTGTGGTTAACGACAAATATTTTGGGTTTTCCTGGCTTCTGTTCTGTATCAATCATTTAATCCAATTCTAATTGGACCATTCAAAAGTACAATTTAATTGGTCTCACTTCCACAGCCTAATCATTTCGATTTAAACACTGCCCGATCCAAAGTGAAAATATTGACAGTTTGCAAATTACTTGAAAATAATAACCAAAACTGATTAAGGGAAAAAAAAAAAAAGGCTCGTTCTTCTTGGCATTTATAAGATTAACAAAATTAAAAATAATTACTGGTAATATATAATTTCCTTGCACATGGTTAGTTACAGAAATGTACAAGTCCTACCAAGGGAATAGAAGAGAAAAGGCTTTCCTTCTTTTTTTTTACCCCTTTTCTCTTTGTGTCTACTTTCCCTTTTTTTCAGGTCAGAGAAAATAAAAATACATGGATATACTATATAATAATTCTTGCCTATAGACTTTTAAATATATCCCTTATTAATTAAGCCTATTGTACATGTACTACCCTAATTAATCTCTTCTGATTTTCTGCTTGCTCTGAATTGTCTTCTAGACGACTTCTTCCATTGTACCAACCGTTGTAGAAAGTTCATGACCTGAAAAATGTAAATAATAGAGACACAGTAAGTAATTATATTTGAGTAATAAGGATGTCATCAGACGAACTATAACTGATAATAACTAAACGTATTTAATATCTACTTGCCTCGGCTGGTTCTTGCAGTGAATAGGCAGCACTTGTTTCCTTTGGTGTTTTTGAGACAAGAATTCCAAAACCTTGTCTTCTTTCTTTCAGAACCTGATAATTAAGGGAAGAGAAAGGTTGATTAACACGACAATTATGAATGCGAAAAAGGATAAATAAATTAATGAAGAAGCTATGATGATTTAGTTTTTGGAGCATAGGATACCTTAAAAGCATCTTCATCGGTTCTGTCGTCCCCAATATAAACAGGAAATACATCTTTACGATTGGCGTAACCTGTTAAATAGACAAAAAGATATTCGGTTAATGACAGTTTTATCTTTTACTAATTAGTATCTAGATTATGTAATTAAATAAACTAGTGTCACAATTTCCGAGTGTTAAACGTCGATGAGATCTAAACACTGTCGATTATTGGTTATTACAACTAAAAAAAGAACAAATCGACACGTCTATTTTATAGTTGGTATATACACTCATAATTACAAAAATAGACAAACAAAAATCAAAGGAAAAAAGGTAAAAAAATCAAAGGTTCTAGAACGTAAAACTCACCTAGTGATTCTAATAAAAATTCAAGAGCCTTCCCTTTGTCCCATTTGATTGTAGGACGGATTTCTAATACCTGTAACAAATTGAAAATGACCACTGAAAGTGAGACACTCAATTGCAAAATAACAAAAAAAAAAAAAAAAAGTAAGAGTAAAAATAACAAGAACAACGACAAGGAAATGACACAATGCCTACGTCATATACCTTTCTTCCTTGGGTTAATCGAAGCTTTGGGTAATCCTTCAAGACTGACTTGACTTGTTGTGCTAATTCAACCCATTTCTGTTTCATTACCAACAATTAAAAACTATTCAGAATCCATTAGTTTATAGGTTAAGCCCATGTTAGTGGCTTCTTAAAAATTGATCGAAGAGGCCCATAAGACATTTAAAAAAAGAAAATATAATATTCAATTATACAATATTTCTTTTACCTCAAAACAGAGAAAATAATGATTTGTCTGATCTAATAATTAACCACCATTTGCCACTAATAATATATGATTGATGCATTGGGAAACTCACTGGAAAAAAGAACAAAGATACTACTACTAAGTACTAATAAGTCTATAAAAAGGTGAATATACCCTCTCATCAACACAGCGAAAATGTACAGATACGCAAAATTTGTTATTCTCCACTATTGCACCGTCCGTGGATTTCGTTTTCTCTAATAAGGCTTCATATACCTGATCCAACAAATAAAAAACATCTCTAATGAGATTCTCGACGTTAAAAAAAAATTGATAACCCAGGAAAAAAAAAACAATTCAGGATTCTTTATTACTTAATTTAAAAAAAAAAAAAAACACTAACCTCATCAATCATTGGAAGAAACTCACTGGCAGTGTCTGGCTGAAAAAGCACCGCTTCAGCTCCCTGAGAATATGGAAATCAACATCCCCCAAAAAATTAGCATTTCATTTTCCTTTTTGTTTTTGTGGTAAAAAAAAAAAAAGGAAAGGAGAAGAAGTGGCAGGGAGATTCTAAAGGAAATAGTATACAAATTTGGAATCTTTTTTTAACACTTACTTTCTTGCGTTGTGAACCTTTAGATGGTCCTTTTATATCCATTCCATGACTTCCTGCATAGTACAATTCTGCCAATTGTACAAAACTATACACCTGCCAACCCCCAAAAAGATAAATAAATATCCATTAGTTTTAGATACAATTTCCCGAAAGCAGGTTCGTCCCATAATAAGAATCGTGTTTATTTAAGCACGAATGGATTAATTACCTTGTCTCGGCACCTTCCACTAACAATGGCAGTGGGGAAGTATCTAGCAACTTTTCTAACGGTGGCTCTCATCTGTATTTTTTTTTTTAAGGAAAAAAGATTAGTTCTTTTAATCATAAGAATCAAGAAAAATGGAGAATTAGTAAAAGGCGTAATAAGGAGAAGTGTACAAACCGCGTCAGACATGAAAGCGCGATCAGGGTCCTCCACTATAGGGGAAAGCGTGCCGTCATAATCCAAAAACATCACTATTTGCTTTCCCTTTGATGCATTTGTTATCTGCTCAAACATCTCCAAAGCTGATGGATGCTGTTGCTGTTATATTTCCATTAAAAAAAATTAATCATTATTATTAATCCCACACTCAGAAAAATAAAAAGGAGGAATAATAAAACACGCACACACACAGTGAACGGTTAAGCAACTACTTACCGTCCATGAGTCATGGACGTCATCAACGGAGAGAAGGGAAGGAGTGGACTTGAGGTGGGTCGGGGAGGAAGCTCTCATTGAGTCAACCCAGGCGTTGATTTTAGCCCCGGAGTTGATCTCGAGGTTCTCCAGCAGCTTCTTCTTGGAAATGGTGATGTACGTCGTTCCGGGCACCGCCGGCGGCTTCTGCGCCGCCGTGGTGAATAGGGACGACGAGTTCGTCACGGCCACCGTTATCGCCATGCTCAGCCCGGATTTCGTATCCGAAACTAGTACATTCTGTTTCGTCATTGCCTCCTTTTTCCTACGTAACAAATATCAAAATTAAACACTTGCCGGAAAAAAAAAACATTTCATATAATCAGCGAAAAACCCAATCCCCTGAAACAATTAATATTCTCAATCATTCATTCAGTTCACTCACCTAAAAATTGATCAGTGAAGTGATGAAAAAGAGTTGGATGATTGAAATAATGAAAAGGGGTCAAAGAAATGGGACCAAAGAATGAAGAAGAGTATTAGTAAACTGGGTCGCCGGAGAACGGAGAAGAAAGAAAGAAAGAAGTCACAGCCGAGAAAGATGTGTGTGTATTCTGTCTTGACTGTGCGAGTATGTGTGTGTGTGGGTGAGAAAAATTGGTGGCTGGTTTGGTTGTTTTATAGTTATAAACCGCAACACTAACGGACGAAGGGGATGGCCACCCCACCCTCTTTAGTAGGTCCCACTCCCTCTGGGGGTTTCTGGACCCCACAGCTTTTAAAGGGGCTAAAATTGTGGGGCCCGAAACTACATTCAATATATCCTGAGGGGAGGAAGGGGGGAGGGGGTTCCCGCTTCCGCAGCCCACGTGGTCCCCCATACCATTACCACCACCGTATTTGCTGAATTGCTCCGCCGTGTAACTGCTATCTCCGCCGTCATGGTAAATTGTCCGAACAGCCGTTGCCAGCTGGAACGGCGTCACAAATGGGGTTCAGCTAATGGGTCGGTAATGTTGACGTGGAATTTGCCGCGTGGAGAAATGTTTTTGAGAGACACACTTACACTATACTATACTTACATTTCGTGGAGATGAGGAGACAGGCCACTATATGATTGTGACTAAAATTTTTCTAAATAATAGAAAATTTTCTTTGGCTTAACTAATGGTTTGTTTGATAAAATAAAAAAATATTGTTTGATTCTAAATAATTAATATTGAATTAAGAATACTTAATTTGTTAAGCAGTTATCGTTGGGTTATTTTAAACATTAGGTGTCATATATATCATCAACAAACATGTGTTTACTCTGAAAAAAGATTTTTTTTTTTTTCTTTTTAGTTGTTCATGTACATTTTGTATTTCCTTTCTGAAATTTCTACACAACATTGAGCTAGGTCCAGTAACTGGTTTGGCTTTGAATGGCCAAAGATTTTTATTAAGGACTGCCAAAAAAAAAAATATATTAAGAATGAAATCTCGAATTAAAAAGTTTTTTAGTGCATTTTCACCTTTTGCAAACTGCAATGTAGGAATCTTGGCTCCGCCGTAGACATAGATTATGGGTTTCATTTTTGGAGGAGTCACTTTTATTATTGCCTTAATTAAACAGACTAATGTAAGCTGAAATTTCCATAAATGGCTAATGGTCCCAATACAAATTTATAGGACGGTCTAATTGGCCTACCCTTTGTTTTTAGGTAATGCAAGAACATTGAAAAGCAAGCAGCTCATCATACCGCTAAACTAAGTTCTGCAAAACCAGCAGCTTCTACATACATACATATTCCTTTTCTGAATTGCCCTGTTTTTCCATCTATTTAGGTGGAAACCATTTTTTTGGGAAAAAAAATATCGAGTTCCATTAATCATGTAATTTGTACTTTTGGATTCGATTCATAATATCTTTTTTTTTTTTTTTTTGATGTTCACACCTTTTTAGATATATAATAATATCTTTTGGTATAAAAGATGTGACGAGTTAGCTAACTCAGAATCGATTAATAAAACGATTAGAAGTACTAATTCATAGAAATTTAGAGTTTCGACATATATATGAATGAAAGATTACTTTTAATACGTAATCTTTTTACTCAAAAGTTAATTTTCCATGAAGATTGAATCAAACAAATTGAGCCGAAGGAAACTCTTTGTTGGTCCCTAATTAGACATTGTGCTAGGTAATGACTGCTTTGGTCTACCATATAACTCAACCAGTTGGAAAATCACCTGGAATTGATGAATATTATTAGCATTACAAAGACTAAAACAGTGTACAAGTTTTCGTAAATTTAAATCATTAGACTTTATAGACCGAACCGAGTTGACAATGCTACAGCACTTTCGTATTAATCCATCCAGTTTTTAATATAAGACATTTTGATTAATCATAAATTTTACCTAATACGTATTTTTAATTGACAAAAAATCCTTAAAACTATTCCTAACGATCAAGAGAAATAACGAATGTAAAAATATATCTTTAAACTTTTTTTGTCGATTAAAAATGTGTACTATGTGAAAACTATGACAAATCAATATATCTTATATTAAGGACCGGAGGGAGTATTATTATTAACGTGACTACCGTGAAATTCAAGACAGAAATTAAATAATACAGCCGAGAAAATCATTATCAGAAAAATGACTCGACTATTAAAAAAAAAGGTTCTTGAGATTTCGAAATGCTTTTTCAACGACAAAGCCAGATATTAAAAGGATTTTGGAAATCTAGTTGCCACATTGGGGCACTAACTTGATCCTTTAATTAAACATCTAGTTGCCACATTGGCTATAAAGAACTATATATAGCATCAAAAACATCAAAGGAATCTATAGCTAGTCGAAAACACTATAAATTTACCCAATACGAATTTCTTTCTGCAAAAACTGCTGCTTAGTTGAGAAAATTAGACAAAAGTGAATTGTAAAATTACAAAAAAAGGGGTTATTTTTTAGGGGTCAGTCCGTGCTAATCAATAATTGAAACCTTTGACTAACGAACGGAAGCAAAAGTAACAAAACCATAGGTTGTAGCATCAATACATACTCCCCCCTGTTGTCAACCTTTGAGAAAATTCAAAGTGGCATGGTATTTTATTAATGTTGTTGAACTATTATTTATCTTTGTGAATAAAAAATTTATTAAGTGAACAAATTATTCTTCTTAAAAAAAGTGAATTAATTTTAAGGATCAAACGAAAGAGAGAACAAATTTTATTTGGAAAATGACCTTCGTTTTTTTTCCTTTTAACAATTATTTTGGACAAGGTCATGACATAAACAAACACGTAGGTTCACAAGTAATGCGAGTAAAAGACATTAAAAAAATTAGGATTTTCCATGTCGTGTCAACAATTGGTGTATATGTACCCAAAGAAACCTTACTCAAGGGTATTCTACAGCAGCCACCTGGCTTTCAATTGCTTGCTAAGGCTATCTCCCAGTCCACTAGCTAGAAATGTCCTGTTCCTTCTTTTTCAAATGGCATTAAATCGCAATTCGCAAGTATTTTGGTGAAGAATATTTAGAGGCAATAATAAGGAGAGACATGTTCAATTCTCATAGAAATTATCCTAAGTTAAGAAAATGAAAATATTGGTGGGAAAACGTAACACTTCAATAAATTGGGAACTTAGATATGAATTTTGTGATATCCTAAAAACGGTGAGATGGAAACTGTGTTATACCCTATTTATTAAACACTCCAAAATGTTTTACGTACTTGGAACTATGGGAGATTTCAAGAGTATTATTGCGAGTGAATTATATTAGAGGAAATTGGACAACGCTTTTTCCCGCTTGCTCCCCTAAATTGTAAGCTTCTGTGACGTAAATAAATATACAGAGATGTTACTATTGTAAATAATTTTAAATAGTACAAATTAATATACCGTTGACGCCTTCCTCGGTTTCCAATTCTACTTATGTCTCAATGGATATTTAGCTAGGTTAATTACCCTAGGCTGAGGTGTTTTTTCCCCTAGTGTCTAAACATGTGATCTTGATTAAGATCGACCCAAAACGAGTAAGTTACTTTTAATGAACGATGTAATTCTTGCAATAAAGTTATATTCTTTCTGTTCCAAAATTTTTGTCCAATTTAAACTTTTATTTTTAATATAAATTGAAAAAAAAATTGAATATTCAAACTGAATAATAATTTTGGGACAGATGGAGTATTTAAATAATCACTTGTAAAATTACTGTGTGACCGGATTTATTGTTAAGCATTGATACGATAGAAAACAAGGGCAGAAAAGTAGAGTCAGAAATCGTCTCAGAAATGTGGAAGTGGATGGGATTGTTTCTGAGACAGTACTGCAATTCGTCTTTATGCCCTTTGTACATTTTCTCCCTCAATAAAATCCTGTGGTACATTTTACATCAATGTACCTGCATTAAATGTGTATAGTTAAATAAATTTGACTAGACTTTGAAGTTTGAAGTTTGAAGTTTGACCTTTGTCCCTCCATCATCGATCCATGCCCCAAATCTTGTCCATTTTTTTTTTTATTTAGCTGTATTACGTAAGTAGGACGATCTGACTGAGTATAACTATGATCGAAAATTGGGAATAGAACAAATTGAGCTACGTGTGTATATATGTAATTTACCCGGACCTAATTATGTTGTGACAACAGGGTCGACAAAATTAGCTAGAAAGCACGAACAAATACAAAAATACAAATAAAAATACTACCGCCATTTTATTTTAATGATCATTGATTGTTGTATTACTTTAAAATCAACAAAATAATTTAATAAAATAAGATGGAAATAATATACTGTGTATAAGCATTTACTCATCAGATAGTTACTTCTCTTCATTAAGTAGAAATATATAAACTTATCTAAGTGCACATAAATTCAGATATATCATTTCTGTTCGTTCCAACATAAGCCTACGTTTACACTATTTCAACAAAAATCCCTCGCATTTTGAATCAAATGAGATATTTGGTCCCATTGCAAATGTCACAAAGGAAGATGAACACTGCAATAACACAAACACATAACATAATCTTAAAATGTTTGTCTACATCATGATTCATGTCGAATTGTGTCTTTGATTCGAACTTTTCTGTTTCCTCATAGCGTAAAATGCTTAGAAATACGTACAAAAGTTTGAGGTTCATTGCAAATCTAACCACATTTGAAGTCTTATATTACATGTGCATTATTTAGGTCCATCAAGTATCACAAAGTAGCTTTCTCCGTTACCTTTTAGAATGATCCTGCATGTCGACCAATTTTGTAGAACCTTGAAGAGGAAGTTTAACCATAACATTAAAGAAAGCTTACAAATAGAATCTCGGCTTTCGGATGATGGTGGTGGAAGTTTTTTAGTTTCTCGTTGTTCCTTCCAGGAAATTAATGTTGCCTTGACCAGATCAAATTCAACTTGATAGGAAATCTCATCTAAACATTCGCATCATTTCTACCTTAAACTAACATCACACAAAGTTCTTTCTTTTTTCCCTTAAAAAAAAGAAATAGGGAAAAAGTATTTTGGGACAACATGCACTACACATATAAAGTTACATACATTTATTTGTAAAAATTCGGTGATTCGATGATAATTATGTACAAATGGTTCATATAACTAATTTCACACAGTACGATGGATACTAATTGTGTCGTAATTGCGGATCGAAATGATACAAATACAATGCATATATCAATGGGGGAAAACATTTAGGAGCCAGAAAGGAGGGTGGT